GCTTTCTTTCGAATGCGTAAACAAGATTGGTTAATGACTTTCTCGGATATTTGCTAAGATAACGAATGACTGCGTAACATATATGACTGTAATGGCGATCTGTGGTAAAAAAAAGGTTTTTTTGACTTTGCCTAAGACGAAGTATTAGCGTGTGCTTGAAATGACAGCAGCTTATATTGGTAAAAAGAACTTTGAAGGAAGTAAAGAGAATAATATTCCTTTCTAATCTGAGCGCTGGCAGCACGATTTCCCATATTCTCTAAAAATCCATTTCTTCGATGCGTGTGACTGCATAAACAAGCTTATGTAAGTGTGTTTGCTGATGCCAGTAATACGTGAAAGACTAATGAATTCAGTTTATAAGAAAAATGCGCCATGCATTTATTCGACACTAAGTGGTTTGAGTTCGGGCCTTTATATAATGAATGCAAATAACCGTTTCGTAGTACTGTAAGTGGAAGCCTGTGAAACCAGATACTGAATGGTGCTTGTTCTTTACATTATTTTAGAGAATAGATGAGATATGGAAGGTACAGATCTTAATCTAGCTGTTTATGAGAGCCTCGTTCTTTCTAGTATCTTTCTGAATATATTACAGTGCTTATAAATCAGAATCTTTTACTATCCCGATAGTTGCAGGACAGAGATACTTCTTCCACACTGTCTTAAAGCTTTAATGGCACATTCCTCAACATTAACACATTTACACACCTATTTTATGTAAAAGTTGTATAAAAAAAGCTCACTGACGTGCTGCGTTTGTACATTTACTGTGAGGTCAAGCAAGCCAAAATTTCACGTAGGATCCGATGGCTAATTTCCCCAAAATAAGCGAGAGACAAAAAGAAAGAAAGAAAGAAAGAAAGAAAAAAAGATAAAAACACGAAACCAAAGACTGAAAATACGCGTCCGGATGCGATCGCTTGCGACTCCGTTTTCGAACAAATAACTCCCGAGCAGTACGAACAGATAACAACGTCTAACCTACAACGAAGAGAGAGGAGTACTGAAAGGAGCTTCAAGCCATTGTCTGTGCTTAGCTGGCTAAGGACTGTGACGTTCTCAACGAGGATTGAGCCGTAAACCGTCAATAATCGGACATGACATAACGCGTTTCTTTTATTCATGTTGCCAAAGGGGGAAAGTGACTCGTTAGCGCTAA